AACGCCTAACCCTGACCCTTACATAACTACACGTAACTACCCCTTATTGTTTGCCATTGAAACGAGTCAGAGAGGAGAGAGCCTAGTTTGAGGCCTTCTGATGAGAAGAGATGATTTTCAGAAAAAACTCACGTAGACTGCCGCTCGTGCGTCCTAGGCGCCGTCTCCCCGACAATTATAACTGTGGGCGTAGGGACGACGTTACACAAACGTAAGAAAACTCATTATTTTCTTCAAATGAAGGCAGGTAATCCCTATTATACAGCATCCTACTGATGCATATTACCGCGGAACGAAACGTAACTATGGCTGCCTTCTTCAGTAGTTGCGGTAGTGTGCAGCGGCATTGCACATTCCGCATACCGTATTTTCCAGAGTATAAGTCACACTTTTTATCAAGAAATTTGCGTGAAATTTTCGACATGCGACTTGTACTGCGGATGCGAGAAAAGGGGGGCGTTACCGTCGATTTCACGCATCTAACTGGGCATCTAACATCTGACCTATCACTGGTGTCCAGGGGGTCTTGTACACATGATGCCCTCGTACTTCTCCTACATCGTGATCTTCCATCCCCGCGCGCGATCCCTCGTGAGCGGTGTGGCAGATGTGCGCGTTAAGGATCCGCGTATGACAGACCTAAGTATGGGTGCGACTTATACTCCGGAAAATACGGTAAACTCATTTCGAATATTTGCGGCAGATTATACCTCTTTTCAACGAGCGGGTCACTAACTGACCTTTCTTAAGACGGCGACCGTTACGGTGTCAAATTAGTAATTTCACTAAATACATACTCAGAAACAAAAAGAAAGTAAAAGCAACCTAGCACCGCAACTTGCTCTAACAAGTACACCAACAACACGATAATCTTGGTGGACCCACAATTCTTGCTAATGTTGTTCACAAATAATTGATAATACACGTGAGAGAACGAAAGCAAAACTGCATTATGAACGGCCAAATGCCCGTCATAGTGTGCGTATTTGTGATGGAAAGAGATCTTTTTAAATTGTGAGTGAGAGGCTATTATGAAATAGCTGCTAAATGCAGGTGCGATAATTAGAGTAGACGGCACTTTGACTTCTTCTTTTTCCCTTTGTTCTTTAGTGTTGTGTCGTCATTCTTGACCTCCTTCTGTAGTAATGTAAGACGTGCGATGGGGAGGGTAACATTGACTAAGGTCCACAGAGCAAAAAACACACAAACGGCATATTGACCGAGATGGCATATAAAGTAATGTAACCAAAACAAATTTAGCTACAAAAACATACATGTCCAATAATGCCACCTACAAACGTAGGAGGCATAAGTTGTAGTGCAAGTCGATGAAAATACATGATTTACAAAGCTGAGGGCGCCCCGGGCTATAACGTCTGAGCGCAGCCAAGACTAAGGGCCCGGGGCTTTTTAATTCACGTATTGACGAGCAGAATGACTAGTTTAGACCGCAGACTCTTGAGTGGTTGACAGTGCATTCAAAATCACACTTCAATTCGTCTGTCCTAGAAATGTTGCAGGAAGAGGCTCCAGACCCAGTATGCAGGTATATATTACATTGTACCGTGCTACCCGTCTTTGTAGACCTGAAGTGCCAGCGGGAGCAGCAGTGAAAATGCTCGACGTTCAACAGGGAGTCGTCATCTCTCCCACACCCCCACCCTAACTTTACATGAAGACTAGCCTTGAAGGATATCCCACCAACTTGGATCTTACATTAGCAGCTGTGACAGAACACACACCACTACAAAGATGGTGCTGTAGACGCTGCAACAGAACTACTAAGCCCAGTACAGTATGTACATGAAAATGAGAGCATCACACTTCTATGAGGAGGCAGACGCTAGCTCCCGCTCGCCAATTATGACACCATTCCCGAGTATGGTCTAGTCCATTCTAGTGTAAAAGTTACATCTGAAAAGGGGACACCTCAGACGCCCCCCAACGTGTCCCTTTATTCATAGTTGCACTCTATGAGAAAGACCGACATATAAACCTTCATAGGTGTACAGTATTATGCACCAGTTACTGTATAATATATGCTCTGCTCTGCTCACCCAGCGTCGGATCTCCCGGACAAGACTGTAGAATGCGTCGTCTACACCTGTCTCGTCTTTGCCGAAGTCTCGATGTATGGCATGTTGTGCGTCTTTGCATACGTGGACGCTAGCTTCTGGTCGACGTCCCTTCGCGGGAGATCAATCTTGTTTCCCACCACTGCAGGGATGGAGGGAGGGAGGAGAGAGGAGAGGGGGGAGAGAGGAGGGACGAGAGGGAGGAAGGGAAGGAGGGACGGAGAGGAGGGAGAGAGGAGAGGAGAGGAGAGGGGGAGGAGGAAGGGAAGGAGGGAGAGAGAGCGGTGAGGGAAGGAGGGAGGGAGAAGAGCAGAGTGGGGGAAGGAGGAGAAAAGAACAGAGAGCAGAAGAGAGATTTCTAACATTACTTGCAGCCCAAAGACGTGCGCACGTCACACACACACAACACACACACACTCATACATTTGTCCAAATACATATGACACTGAAAGTTATTAGTAATACAAAAAAGAGGTGGACTAACAGCCCCCATTAAATACACACACTCACACTGTATTGACATAACACACAGACAAACCACGGTACTGTAACCTTCGCTGCTCATGCGCGCAGAGGGTTAAAAAGGGGTGGACCGACAGCCCCCATTAAACACACACCCACTCACACTGGCATAGCTGAAACTAACACAAAAAGAGGGGTGGACGACAGCCTCCATTAAACACACACTCACTCACACTGGCATAGCTGAAACTAAACCACAAAAGAGGGGTGGACCGACAGCCCCCATTAAACACACACCCACTCACACTGGCATAGCTGAAACTAACACAAAAAGAGGGGTGGACCGACAGCCCCCATTAAACACACACCCACTCACACTGGCATAGCTGAAACTAACACAAAAAGAGGGGTGGACCGACAGCCCCATTAAACACCACACCCACTCACACTGGCATAGCTGACACTAACACAAAAAGAGGGGTGGACCGCCAGCCCCCATTAAACACACACCCACTCACACTGCATAGCTGAAACTAACACAAAAAGAGGGTGGACCGACAGCCCCCATTAAACACACACCCACTCACACTGCATAGCTGAAACTAACACAAAAAGAGGGGTGGACCGACAGCCCCCATTAAACACACACCACTCACACTGGCATAGCTGACACTACACACAAAAGAGGGGTGGACCGACAGCCCCCATTAAACACACACCCACTCACACTGGCATAGCTGAAACTAACACAAAAAGAGGGGTGGACCGACAGCCTCCCATAGACTCACACAGCATAGGAATGTCGTCGGCATCCTTGACTCGTCTGATCTGGCCTCTGTACGAGTCGATGTCCTCGAAACTCTTCATGTTGTCGATGGCAAACACTATGAGGAACCCCTCGCCCGTCCTCATGTACTGGTCCCTCATGGCACTGTACTCCTCCTGGCCCGCCGTGTCCAGGATATCCAGGAGACACGTCTCACCGTCTATCACCACCTAATCAAGGGATGCAACAACATATCGGAATTAAACAGCACACCATAGTCCCTCTATCTCTTGGGTATTATATATATATACTACCCCTGAATATGCTACCACCTGACCAGGGATGCAAGACCACGTAAAACCCATGATACTTAAACAGCACACGCAAGGCTGGCACCAGAGTGCACCAGGAGGACATAGTCCCTCTATCTCTTCATTACTCCCCTGAATAATATGCTTCCCGGGGGGAACTTTTACCCCCAAAGAGTAAGGCGTCTTGCGAATATTTTAGTGATCCAAACAGGGCAGTTTTTACATTTGACCACGCGTCGTCAAACTGCTCATGTGTTTGGATCACACGCTATGCGAAATAATTTCGATGCATTGTAGGCCCGCTCCCAATTTCTCCCAATCGTGCTTTTAATAGCAAACTTCAAAGAAAAACAGAAACGAAAACGCACAATGCAAACAGAGGTGTTAGTCACACGTGTAGTAGAAATTGAAAAAGGATGATATGTATCTGTTGGCATGTTTTGGGTCGAGTTCCAAGTTATAGTCCATTCACGTTCAGAATGCATGCTGATTATCTCGAATAACTTCATTACCCTTTACTCTATTGCACAGTTCTTGGTGCCATTGTGTAGCTCTTAAAGATCCCGTTCCTTTAGTCTTGGTTTGGTACAAATCCAATGCATAGTTTTTGCGTGCCATTAGAAAAACCCTCCTTTTCAATGTAGTGCTTTCTCAACTTGAACATACTATAGTCCACGATGGTCGGTGATGTAAACAAGCATGCTGCTATGCCGTGCCTCTATATAGCATTTTGGGTCTCCAATTGTTTGGAAGAACTTGCAATATGCATAAACAGCACCATTTGCTTATTCTATAAGTAGCGCGGTGTGCATGCTAGAACATTGTCCTAAGGACCGCGATGTACAAAACATGCATCAACATTTACACAATCGGCGGCACATAACGTTCGTGTTATGCACGAATGCTGAAACTGCGCAGATTTCAAAGTCACAGCATACATAAGTAAATAGCACCTGTTACATAAACCAATATTGAATTCTGTGGGGGATAAATGGTAGGTTAACAACTTCGTTAAGCCCGTCCTTATTGAGCAGTGGAATATTATTGCACGCATATCACTATTATACCTATGGTCCTATATGGAGTATAACTGACCTGTTTTCGATATGAGTCCTCGATTGTAGGGTCATACTCATCGACAAAGTGATTCTGAATTAGTTGAATAGTTAGCGCACTTTTCCCCACACCTCCCGCTGTAAGATTGAAAAGAGGAACAGAGCGAATGGGAGAGAAGGAGGGGAGAGAGAGAGAGAGAGAGAGTGAGGGAGGGAGGGAGGAGAGAGAGGGAGGGGAGGGAGAGAGAGGGAGGGAGGGAGGGAGGGAAGGAGGGAAGGAAGGGGATAGGGAGAGGAGAATAATGAGTAAGTAAGTACTAGGCAAGAGCTATGGAGAGAGTTCAAAGTTTGTGAATGGAGTGCATAACTGGCATAGCTGTCCAATGATCACTGATCACTCTCTGCACTAAAATGCATCAAACAACGCCAAATGCACTGCGTGGCTGAGTGACTGGACCACGCACGGCCTCATTAGTGTCGCAATCTCTGCAGCACACGGCACTAGCAGCCATTGCACAAATAAAAAAACTCAGGTACGCCGTGAATAACAGGCGATTACACACACCTTTGCAGCATGATCAGAGCTATAAGTTACCAGGTGGTAGATACACACGAACTAGACATAATTACTCACTGTGTTCTGTGCTCAAATGCTAAAAACCGAGTTTGTTCAGTGCCTAGTATGTAGAGCACATCAGGGAACGCAATGAATGGACTGGTATGCACACACTAACTCAACCTCAAGGGCTTCTCTAACGCCAGACTTAACACATCACCTGCCATCTAAACTGACATTACCTGCACACGCCCATCATCCCTACCACCAGCTACAGTAGCATGCAGATGTAGCGACCACGCGATCTTCCATTGACCGTGGACATGCGGACAGCGCCACAAACACCCGAGCTCACAATCAAGCTATAATTGGATTACTGAGTGAAAGAGCCTCATACCACAGACATACACCATCATTTACCTCCATACTCTACTCCCAACACACTCACATACCCTTCACACACAGTGTTATCACACACAACGACTCAGCATCTTACACATCACCACGGTTGTGGACCAAGACACACTCTAGATACACATGACACCATGCATTGCTGCACAAACAAGGCACTCTTGGCATGCTTGACAGTACACCACGACACACCGTTCCCGTCACCTTGTGTCTCCCGTGTACTAGCTAGACTGTTAGCATCCATTACAACTGCACAAGCAGTCATAAGCCTGCGTGCAAAACAGCATAAGGCTGCGTGCGAGCATGCCTCTTTAGCAAAGCTGTCAGTCGTCTCTAGCTAGCTACAGAGCAAGTGGACTAACCTACCCCACTAGCTCACAACAGGAAGTACATAACACATACAAATAGACCTGGAATGAGGTCATACCCCAGTGGCCTGATTGCGCACCAGCAGGAGAGCTAGAGGGGCTCAGAGGTAATGAGACTCTGTAAGGGAGGGGTTCCACTCTGATTATATACACGGGTGTTGATTGCCCTAAGCGACGGGGTCCAACCCGCCTCGCATTACCCTCACCGGTCTAAACCCTCGCAAACTGAACCGTTGGCCAGCTAAATGCCACCCCGGGGTCATAAAGCGTGTGAAGTGGGGAATTTATGAGCCCCTGCAGGCGCTAGGCGTCTCTAGCACTCACCTCCCACTACGACCAGCTTGTATTCAGTCATGGTTCCGCTCTCCTCGTTTGCGATCTGCAGCTAGTCTCTCAGGGATCATCCACCACACCACACTACAGAAGTTGAGGCTGTCGTTTTCCGAGGCAGGTAGGTGGGTATTTATGGAATAACAGGCGTGTTTCTATTTTTAGAACGGAAATCGTGTCCTTTTTTGGTAGAATCCCACTAGGCGCTCATCGGAACATTAGCGCGGGGAATTTGGGCGTGTCGCCCGTCTCACGCGACCTGTCATGTGACATTATTTATCGTTGTTTGGGTTCTCCCTCTTCGGTTTTGCTTCTTGTCCCCCGAACCTTCTACATCGATTCTTGTAAGTTAAAAACGTATGTGTTTCGCTCGTGTGTAGGGTCTCTGTAGTGGATGGGCCTACACAAATCAGAGTGTTTAGTTATTCGTAACTTATCGAAGTGGGGTCAGGCCATGGTTTAAAATGCGGCGAGGCTAACCTCAAATACCCAGAAAGCTACCAGCAAGACAAGTGCCCGTGTGGGTTTATATCCACGAATGTATGTGTGTGCGTTCTACAGGTGAAGATGTCTCAGGCAGGAACAGTCATGCAGGCCCAGAAGATGGTGGAGCAGCTCCGAGAGCAGGCTGCCTTGGACAGGATCAAGGTCTCCGATTCCTCCAGAGAGTGAGTGCTATCTATATACTATGTACCACAGTAGACCCCACACCCCCTCTGTCATATTGAATGGGGGTCATGTCAGCCCCCCCTAATGTTTTGGGTTATATCGTGGCAAGAAAGATTACACGGGAGAAAACGTCGTTAAGATCATTTGCACAGATTGACTGTTGTTTTGTCACACAAGTGTCCCATCAAAAACTGCTGAGAACAGGGCCGGCGTCGCCGGTACAGCCGGTCCGGTTTTGGCCGGACCACTATTATGTGATTGGCTGCGCATGCGCGTGTGCATGTGATGATGAAGAGGGTGTGGCGTCTCGTGGCTGGCAATGGTTTCTCGTATCGGCGCGGCGGGGACAGATAATGGACAGCGGTGCCATCTCGCGGCCTTTTTAAGTTGTTCATCTTCCGCCAGCTCCTCACCAGCCGTCCCGAAGAGGCCATATTATTTGCCAGATTGCACCAGAAACACTCTCAGAACCTCCTAAATTTCAAAATTTTGCGTCCTCAGGTTGGCCTGACCACTATAAAATTGCTCGCTCCGGCCTTGGAGAAAGTATAGTTTGCTCTGTGCAAGTTATCCACACTAGGCGTGCACACTGCTATAGACTAGTGAGAACCAGTGCAGAGCTAGCTCCAGAGATTTATTGCTGGGGGACAAACAACCCCCTAGCAACAAATGGTCCCAATAACAGGACACCTACTGTTTGGGGGTAAAAGTGTCCCCTGGGAAGCATATTCAGGGGACAAATGAAGAGATAGAGGGACGATGTCCCCCTGGTACACTCTGGTGCCGGTCCTGCTAGTGTGACCCCCTCTTCTGTTTTAGTGTGTGGCCAACTTTCTGCTGTAAATGCCTTACTGGTGTGTTTGCCCGTGTGTGTGTGCATAGCAACTTCCTACGCAGTCAGTATTGTTCTAAAAATAGCAACAGGCACAACTGCCTCTCGTCAACACATTCCTTGCAACTTTGCAAAATTCCTTTCTGGGGGATGTGTGTAAATGTTACTAATTATAGCACACAATATTGTGTATTCCGTGCCAAATTTCTGAGGAGCAGCGATTTTAGCAATATTTGCCTCAATGCCAATTTACACAAACTGTGGTAATTTGTGATCTGTCTTTATTTCCTGGCAGTCTGATATCCTATGTTCAGCAGAATGAGGCCATGGACCCCCTGGTAAACCCAGCTGAGAACAATCCCTTCAAGGAGAGAAACAAGTGTATACTGCTATGAAAATCTTCTTTCAGACTTTTCCTTCCCGCAGAGCTGGACTGTAATGGTGTAGAAAGCATTTTACGTTTATCTATTTGCTTTGAATCACATACATGCATGTAATACGTACATGAGTGCTTACTATAATGTAGCTATATACACAGCATTGGCTTTTTATTCAGTAAAATTGAAATATATTTTCGTTTAATTGGAAATGCGCATGCGCGTAAACTTCCGCTTTCGCGCTTCCAAAACGGACGGGCTGATTGATCGTGCCCCATTTTTTGGGCTGGCCAAACATAATGGCGAGAAGCTACAGTTAGTTTTGGCGTGGTTGTGTCGGTTTTGTGAGGCACATCACACGTACCAATCCATCCATCACGCCACCCTTACCCCGGATAGACAGTCTGTGCGAGAGATCGCCCCGATCCGAAGGAGACACGGATTACTCTAACCCCTGTACAGTCCACAGCGTACAGAGCACATTTTGAGTGTGGGTAACTTTTGTTACGCCGTGGGGTATGATCGTTCTTGTGCATGTATGCGGCTGGTGATACCTTGGGAGCTAGGCCGAGGGAATCCAGGCCGAGCTCCGTGGGGGTTTTTACTGGCAAGGTATTGGGGGATATTTTACCCAGTTGTTGGGGGGAACTTCGCCTGTGTGTTCTGCCGCGCCATGGAGTGGGGCGGGTGTGTCACAACGCATGAACGTGCGACGGGTCTGCTGATGGCGAAAGCTAAATTGGCCGGCCAGCGCCTCGAGAAAGCGTGTGTAGGGTGTTGGTCATGGTGTAGTGGTGGTCATGTGGTGCGTACTGTGCCCCCAAACTTCCGCGCGCTACATTTTGATGTTATGTAATCATGAAGGTATATTGAAGGTGGTGCTGGGTGTGCGCGCACCTGTACACTAACACACAGCTAGTTTTTACCTACCTTTTAATATAGCATCCTAGTTTCGGGACGAGATCTTAGTGGTTTTTATCCAGTGTGTGTGTTATACAGAGGTGATTGGGTGCGTGTGTGACTGACAGATCGTGATGGCCGGTGTTGCGGTCAACGAGGTGAGAGATGTGAGTGAGGGAGAGTTGGAGGATGGAGAGGTCCTCAGCAGCGAGGGGGAAGATGAGGGCGAGGTGGAGAAGGAAGAGAACGCTGATCAGGACACACAGCAAGAAAACGACAAAACCTTCGATAAACAGGAGAGTTCGACTCCGGTGATTGGAACAAAACGACCCACAGAAGAGCATTCCTCTATTGATGCTCCGGATCCAAAGGTATGATTGTACACAAATAGTACAGCATGGTTGTGAAAGTACCCTCCAACTTTTGAACGTTTGGCCAAAAAATGAACATACCGACAGGAACAGTGTGTGTAAGTTGGGTAAATTATTACAATATCAGAAACGGTGGGTAAGAATGCAATATGCAAATCTGATAACTCGCTGCCTGCATACGGAATTAGCCTGTTGTTAGTGGGGAAATGTTTGTGGTGGGCAGTACCGACCTTTTCTGTTGTATAGCTTCCCAACTGCATGTAACGTGTGTGTGGGATTGTACATGCATTAATGTACAACATGTGTTCTACTTACTTACATGTTAGTATTGATTACCCCCACTTGCATGCGTTGCACACTCATTCTTGAATTTGACAGGCGGCCAAGTTTGAGCCATCTGACCTGCCCCCTGGTGAGGGTGGTGATGATGGAGGCACAAGTCAGCCTCCTCGAAGCTCCGATGTGGAAGAAGGTGAAATTTTCTCTGATGATGAAGAAGCTGCCTACTTTTCCGCAGAGGATAAAGTCTCGTGGCACAACGGGTACTGCAACCGTCGTACCGAGCGATGCAAGTGGATCGGAGGATAAGAAGACAAAGTCGTCTCGCTGGAGAGGAACTTCTAACTCCCCCGAGAGAGATTCCTCACAGCAGAGGTCGTCGAGAAGACACAGGTCGAGGGAGAGGGGAAAAGACAGCGAACCAAAGAGTTTGGCCTCGCTTTTCTTCGAGGATCGGGACGGGACCCCGAGCGAGCAGTCGGACGACGGGAGAGAGGGAAGGGGGAGAAGGAAGGGGGAGAGATTCAGACACTCGAGCAGTCCGGGTTCTTCCTCGTCTCGCTCGGGCCGAGACAGAGACCGTGACCGTTTGTCGTCGACTCGAGACCAGCGGGACCGACGAGGGGGGGAGGGTAGGAGCCACTACCGAACCACCAAAGACTCCCACAATCGCCATGGTGGTGGCGAACGTGAGAAGGACTGGGATCACGATAGCAACGGCGAGAGTAGCGAAGAAGAGACAGCGTCTTCTTCGTGGTCACAAAGCAAAGGTGGCAAAGGGTATTCTCACCACCACAGGAGAGGACGTAGGGGTGGCGGGGGCCACTACCAGCCAAAGTTTGGCCAGAAACACGACCGATTCGGGGCTGATTCCAGGGGGTCTGGAGGAAGATCGGGGGGTCGGGACACATCCAACTGGGGTTCAGGGAAGATGGCGGCCAAGGAGCTCCAAGCACAGGCAGAGAACGTGAGAAAACGGAGAGAGAAAGGCCTGTCGCTGCTCCAAACACCAAAGATGAAACCGAGCGATAATCTCGATGAGTTCAACTACCCAGCGCCTCCCTCCTGGTACCTGGAGGCCGTGGAGAAGTGGGAGAAGGAGAGGGAGGAGAAGGATAAAGCGGGAGCTGTGGGGAGTCAGGAGGGGGGAGCGGGTGGTAGAGAGTCCTTGACTATCCAACAACCTCAACTGTTGGTAGCAGCTGCAGGCATGCCTCAACCTCAGCCGCTCTTCCCTCCCTCGACTCAGTTCATATATACACAGCAGCAGAACCCTATGGCTGATGTAACCAACACATCTCTTCTCGGTGAACCTCCGCGACCGCTCATACCGGTCGCTCAAATCCTTCCCGCGGGTCTCCAACCACCGATGCCACCTCAAATACCCAGTCTCTTCCCCCCACCCCTTCCCTCTCTAGTGCCACCTCTACAACCGCAGCCCCTTATCCAGCCGTTGTCTTTAGTCCCCCCACCACCTCTATCCCTGGTCCTGCCTATTCCACCACCCATCTATCCCTCTCTGGGGTCAACAGCAGTGACGTTTAACGCTGCAGCACCACTTCAGCCGCATGTAGCAGGAGGCGGACCTCAAATGGTTGCAGTGAGCAGTGGGGGATACGCTGGGGCGGCATTTCAATTGGGGACTGCTGGAGTTGCAAATGAGGAGGAGAGGGGAGGAGGAAAAGCAGTTGTGTCCACAGTTAGGGTGTCCTCTTTGGCACTGGGCATAACAAATACGCTAGGAGAGGGAGGAGCGAAGGAGATGGAGGTGGAGGACGAGGAGGAGGACGAGGAGGGAAGAATGAAGATAGCTCTCGAGACGCCAACGCCGCAACCGTCTGCGACGGGCGCCAAGACTTTCTCTTTCTTTCGTGCTGAGTCTACAGGTGAGTCTGACACAGACAGAGGGGCCGCGGTTGACAGAGGTTCCCCGGGCGCAGAAAAGGATAACAGTGTAAAGTGTGAGAAAGATACCGAGCCTACTGAGAACACCTCTGCTTCGGACGACAGGGACGAAAAGAAAGAGGGTGAAGATAAAATGGAAGTCGATGTCCCAACTAGTGAAAAAAGCCTCACAGTGTGCCCGACTGAGTCGTCACAGCCTGGAGCGACTGCAGGAACCAGTGGTGACCCCAGTGACCCTCTTCCTTTGTCTACCTCCAGTGCTCCTCCTGTCACAACTACAAACCCCACCAGCTCTGGTCCAGTGGCTTATGCCGACATAAAGACTTATTCACCACCGCCACTTGCTCTGCTCCAGCCTCCATCCTCCTCTTTTCCTTCTTCGCCTCCTCCTACCTCCCCTCTCCCCGCCCCTTCTTCCTCCACTGTCTCCACTGCTGCAACAACTGCTCCTGCTACCACTGTTGGTGGATATGACACTCCCCGTCCTACTGTCACCGCTACTAGTGCACCACTTCCTACTGCAAGTGGGCGCAGTGCTCCTCCTGCTACTAATAGGGCAGCCGCTGCTAGTGGGTTAGGTGTCGGTTTCGAGGGGAGTAGGGGAGACAACGAACAGAAACACCAGAGACAGGTGCAGGAGGAGAGCGACATGGAGGAGGGAGACTTCGACTATGACAAGTACCTGGACCAGCTGGACGAGGAGGAGGACACGGAGGAGGTCCCGAGCTCGGCGCTGGTGGGAGCCATCAGTGCTAGTCTCCTCCAGAACAATCCGTTGGACGAGGATTTCCCTGCAATCAATCCCTCCACCAACAGGAAGGACAAAACGCTAAAGTCGTTGCTAGTTGGCGAAAGTGGTCTTGATATTAGTGAAGAGAGCAGCAAGGGTTCTTCTAAAGGCAGAGGTGAGTCGGCATTCTCATGTATAATGTAACATCTTAAGCTTTTTAGTCGTTGTTTTGTGCCTTTATCTACGAGTCAATTCATTCTTTTGCACGTGTATAATATACGTACTGTGTGAGCAAAGCACGGAGCTTGCATTCTTAATACAACCCTTTTGTTAGTGGTCCTTTCATGTCTTTGACACTTAGCCAATTTCTGCTTTATGTGACGTGCAGCGCTGCTTTTATATGCATGCACATACTACTAGAGATACATACACCTTCACCATCAAAGTATATGCTCCTGCATGCTAAGAGAGAGTATACTGTGCCATAGCACAGTGGTTTGAGGTTTGCCTTGTGTTGTGTTGTGTTGTGTTGTGTTGTAGATTCGAACCCCTACCAGCTGAGTTGCCCTGGTAGCTCAGTTGGTAGAGGGCTCGCCTACAGAGTGTCGTGGGTTCGAATCCCACCTAGGGCAGCTAAAAAAAGAGCTGGGTGTAGTTGATTTGTTTGTTGTGCCTTTGCCTTTTTATGTATACACCTCATAGTTTTCACACGCACACACACCTGCCCACGTTACACAGGTTCAAAGTCAGAGCGTCGGAAACAGAAAGAGAGCGAGTGGTGGAGTAAACAGAGGAACAGCAAGAAGCCTCCCAGGGCCAACTCCCCGGCACTCAAACCGCCCTGCAAGTTCTACTTGAATGGCTTCTGTAAACAGGTGAGTCGTCCCATCCTCTAAAGAGGCAACCGCTGAAAATTTTGTGTGTCTAAAAGTGCGCCGAATCCATTTCTATCGTCGCGGCACGGCACGACAGGGCAATGTGACATATTGTGTGAACCTAGCCTAAGCGACACGTGCCCACCTCCAACATTGACTCTCTACGGACCTGCTTGCTTTTGCTCAACAACAATGTGTTGTGAGCCTCCGGATTTTTCCGTACAAAATTCGTAAGAATGCGACGGAGAAGAGCGGTCCAGCACGCACGACAGTATCACAACCAACGGTGTGTGTGAGTGAGTGTGCGATATAATACTAGCTACACAAAATACTCGGACTCGTAACTAGTGATGGTTTGTTTCTAGTGTCTCTCTCTCTCTCTCTCTTCTCTCTCTCTCTCTCTCTCTCTTCTCTCTCTCTCTCCCTCTCTCCCCCCCCACCCTCCTCTCTCTCTCTCTCTCTTATCTCTATCTCTCCCTCTCTCTCTCTATCTCTCCTCTTCTCTCTCTCTCTCTCTCCTCCTCTCTCTCTCTCTCTCTCTCTCTCTCTCTCTGTCAGGGGGAAGATTGTCTGTTCAGTCACGAAGGATCCCCGCGGCCCAAGAACGAGAAGAAAGAGAGATGCAAGTTCTTTCTCCAGGACACCTGCACCAAGGGAGACGACTGCCGATTTTACCATGGTGATCACTACCACACACACACCGTGGGCTCCTTTTTCCTTCAGCTTCGATTTTTCTTAAGGGCTCGAGGGGCTATTTACTGTTATATTTCACAGTTGAGACTGTAGCATTTTATTGGCAAGCGAAGTGAGCCTGTTTTGACTTCTGAACTGTGAGATGTGTTTGTAGACGACTCTATCCATTTACAAGAAATACCAAAAAAAATAATTTTTGTGCTCGTGTTCACGGTACCAACAACACTTTGCATCTTTTTCCTCAGCTAGTTTTCGTACCTACATAAACAAACCCCCCCCCCCCCCCCCCCCCCCCCTCTATATCTCTATCTCTCTCCTCTTATCTATCTCCTCCCCCGCTTCCCCCTTCCGTTCCCTCTCTCGCTGTCTATTTTAACGCTGTCAGGTGAATTTCCATGCAAGTTCTTCCACACTGTCTCGGGCTGTAAGAATGGAGACAGCTGCAAATTCTCACACGCTCCTCTAACTGAAGAGACCACTGAACTCCTCGCACAGGTAGACATATACACACACCCCACAACCGCACCCACAACACACTCACGCCACCACACCACACCACCCACACCTGTACACAAGAAGAGACCACCATGCAACACGTACACGCCACAGAACACAGCAAAATGTTCAATGTACAGCAGTGCTAAACCGCTTCTTCTCTTCTTCTTTCCAATGTCCTTCCCAGGTACTAGAAACAGCAAAAGAAAACTCCCTAACCCAAAATGGGCCAAGCCCAAAGCCCCCGTGCTGGGATTCCCTCCAAGCCAAAAATCCAAAAACAAATTTTTTTTTTGCTTTTCCCCCCCCCCCAAAAAAATCCCCCCCTTTTCCCGGGGGGG